CCATTGTGTTAAATAGTATATTGTTCATCTTTGCCAGTAAAAATGGAAAATTTAGGGATTTCATTTAGGGATTTCAAAGCCTCTTGGAAAAGGTCAATTATCAACCCATTCAAGATGTGGTTTCTTGCAAGCGGGTATGATAATACCCTTGTCTGACCCTAATTGTTGTCAAACTTCTTCGAAAAATTGTGCTATGTTTAATTGTGGGATTTGGTTGGTCATTTTGCACCGTAGGCGGTAACGCTAGTCTTGCCAGATTATCAACGTTGATCGGCATGTTAGGCTTAATAGGATTATTTACATTAGGTGGAACTGGCCTTATATCTTCAACATTTGACAATTGACTGGTTTGTTGGCCAGTTTGATTTGTCCAATTATAATCACCAATTTGGTAATTTTTTACCAACATCAGCCGATTATTCTCTTCATTGTGACTTTGATTAGAAGATTCAGGCCTTCGCATAATTCTTATAAGGGGTTGACTACTCTGACCAACACTTTTGGCATCAATAAATTAAGAGGGACTAGGAACGTACCTTGTTACCAGTAGATTAGATAGTGGTGGTTGATTGGATGATCCTCACCTTGAGAAAACATCACTCACGACATTGATGACAATTAACTTGATCATGTTTGACATGTGACTCACAATGTAATTTGCTATATCATTTCGCTGCTTTTCGAACAATCTCGACATGGTGGCCAACGGATGAAAATTTGGTGTAGCTTCTCTAGATTTTTCTTTAGTGAGACCTCGGGGAAGGTTTGCCCCCTCCGGTTGGCCTTCTTCTGTCGCTCGGTTAGCAGTTGAAGATTCAGAGTGGGAAGCCCTGTCACTACCATTGGGATTAGTATCCGCAGTATTGTCAGGCTTTGGATAATTCCTTGTTCTTGGCATTAAATTTCCTCAAATCGAATCACAAGTCGTCCCATCAAGTGTGCAAAAAAGATGTTTGGCTGAAATTGTATCATCGACGAAATAACTTTCACTGAAATTCGTTTTTTGGTTTTTTATTAAGAGGAGACGTGTTCAGTGGCGATTGCAAACATGAGTCATATCAATGAAACATAAGGAAGAGATACGCTTCAATGAAATTTAATCAACGATGAAGCCTGATGGCATAAAAAGCTTTGCTGAAATTTAATCGACTACAAAGTGTGATGACAAAAATACGTCGAAATTTAATCGACGATTAGATATTTGAAACTATGACTAAAGTACGGGAATTGAAACATATTTAAATCGCGGAAAAAGATAAATTGCACAAAAGTAAAAATAAAGGTATATTTGTGAGAACATTGAGTTCTTTCATTGATTGAGAGGCTTTACAAGAGTACAGTGTGACTATTTATAACCTATAATAGACGTTTACATACAACGAGGGAAAAGTATTAAAATAATCCTAAACCTTTTGCATTGGTACCAATTTAATCAAAACTTTTTTTTTGTGCCAATTCAATCTTAAACCTTTTGTCTTTATACCAATTTAGTCTTTCCGGCTAATTTTGGCTGGATTTTGATGACGTGGACGCCGACCGGCCTACATGGCACCGTCGACGCTGACGTGAATAATTTTTAATAATATTTTAATATTTTTTTCGATTTTTTAAATATTTTTCTAATTTTTTTCTGATTTTTTTTCTTTTCTTCTTCTTTTACCTTTGGCCGGTGACCGAACTGGTCATCGGCCATGGTTGGCCGCCTGGTCTCGCCTAGGCAAGGGCGTCCCCGACGAGGGTCGGTCTCGCCCAGGCCAGATCTGGCAAGGCCGACCCTCGCCCAGGCCACGGCGGCCTCACCGGGCCTTGCCTTCAGTTGGGTGACGCCCAGCAAAGCCACTGTGGCCTGGGGGAGGGCCGACCTCGCCAGATTTAGCTTGGGCGAGGTGTGCTCAATGAGAGCTCCCCTCGCCAGATCCGGCGAGGCCGGCCCTTGCCCAGGCCATGGCAGCCTCACTGGGGCTCGCCCGCCCTTGCCCAGGCGAGGGTCGGCTGGGCCTCGCCTATGGCGGGAGACAGTGGGCGGCCATGGCGGGGGACCGGACCGGTCACCGGCCAAAGGTAGAAGAAGAAGGAAAAGAAAAAAAAAAGAAAAGAAGGAAAAAAAGAAAAAAAATCAGAAAAAATATTAAAATGTTATTAAAAATTGTCCACGTCAGTGTCGGCGGCGCCATGTAGGCCGGTTGGCGTCCACGTCACCAAAATCAGGTGAAAATTAGTTAGAAATACTTAATTGGCACAAAGACAAAATGTTTAGGAATGAATTGGCACAAAAAAAATTTTGGACTAAATTGGCACTTATACAAAAGGTTTATGACTTTTTCAACACTTTTCCCCATACAACAGTTACAAGTTTAGAATTAAAATAAACAAATAACTTCCTAATGGTGGTTACAAGAAATCATGTTATCCACTAATTCCTGTTATCTAGAATGCTTATCCATAAGAAGTTATAAAATCCCTAAATTAGTAGCAATAAAATATAACTACGTAGTAGTTATGTCTTCATGTCGTTCGCCTGCCGTTGATGACTTTGTCGATCAACTTCTCAAGTCTTGATGAAGGCTCTTGTTGATAACTAATGTTATCAATGACTTTCTTAGCGAGTTGTCGATTCTCATTATGTTATTGATTGTTTTGTTAATTGTTGACTAAACTCTATTTTTATCGACTAAGGCCCCATTTGGTTCATCATTTGGGGAAAGTCTTTGGCCAAATGCAAAGGCCTTTAACCTAAAGGGCTTTGGAAAAATGTAAGACTGTTTGACTAACTGTAACTGAAAAGTGCTTTGGGCAAATGCAAGATTGTTTGATAAACATATATTTGGAAAGCTCTTTGGTGTGACCAAATTAAGTTTTTTAATTTTAATATTTTTAAAATTGAAGAAAGAAATAATGATAGTAACTTTTATATTTTCATGTTGAGAGTAATGTAAAAGATACATATTAAAAAATTTATAAAAAATACACATCCTGCGATTATAGCTAAGATGCAAAGCTCGTTTTCTAGCTAAAGAAAAATGAAACCAAATTTCTTTACTAACAAATTTATTACATCAAGAATATGATCAGCCTCCACTTTTTGGATATAACCACGAAACAGCAGCGATTCTCGGAGAGCGGGAATAGGATGCTTGACCTCTCTGCGATGTCTATTCATTGGAGGATGCAAGAATTTGGAGGCCTTGTTCAATGATATGCAATCACTCACGTCGCTCTATAAGTTGTTCATTGGAGGTTGTCCGAAGTTGGCGTCCTTACCACAAGGCATTGGAGAACCTCTGGATTGGCAACTGCAAGAACTTGAAGCTGCCAGAAGGCGAAAGTGATGAACCACGCTCGATGTCAAGGCTTCAAAGCTTGATGTTTGTGGGATTACAAGAGAATTTAAGGCTACATATATAATACTTCACGCCGAAGAGAATTTATGGATATATATGTTGGCTTTGACACCACCCGTTGCCACAGCTTGCACAAAAGTATTCTAATATATCATCTCATACAAATTTGACTAGAAAGAGAGTCATTTCACTATAATAAATATGGTTACATATGTCTGCAAGAAAGAAATACGTTATCCTTAATATTACAAACCTCCTCAACAACTTTGTAAACTCATGGCTAATTCATCACGTAAACGTGTCATGTTAGAAGATGCATTGTTATTTGAAGCACTCACCCCCTCATTTGAATCATCATGGTCAACTGAATATTCATAATCGAGATCCAATTCTGCTTGTTCAAATTCCATATCAGTCACGGCATTTCTTCGTATATAATTGTGCAAAGCAATTGTCGCTACAACAATTTGCACTTGCTTTTCATATGGATAACTGGGCATACGAGTTAGAATTCCCCACTTCTGTTTTAATACTCCAAAGGCTCGCTCAATTGTTGAGCGTAGTGAGGAATGGGCACGATTGAATACTTCTCGATAACCCGTAGGCAAAGAACCTTCTCGAAATTCTGATAAATGATATCTAACTTCTTTACATGGCCCAAAATAACCCATGGGATTTGGATATCTAGCATCTACCAAGTAATATTTACCTACACAAATAAATTGTAAATCTAATTAACACATGCCACATAGATAAATGGGTGTAACTAAACAATTAAATAACGAACCTGGAGGAGGATGGGGAAAATGTGCATCACGTCTTCCAATGGCTTCATAGAAGATGTGGGTATCATGAGCTTGTCCCTCCCAACCAGCCCAAACATACACAAATTCCATATTAAAATTACATATGGCTAACACATTTTGAGTCGTCGTTCCTTTTCGACCAATAAAACGAATTTGATCGTATGTAGGTACTATCGCTGGGATATGTGTACCATCAATGGCTCCAATGCAATTCTTAAAATATGGAAAAAATCATCGGTCTTTCTTGATTTTCTTCGGAACTTCCCTATATTGTTAATCGGTTGGTTAGATCAAATCTTTTCCCATATCACATACTTTATCTAAAACTAAGCTAAAGTGCCTACTTATGGTTTTCCCAGAGCGCTGAAAGTGCTTTTTTGCCCTATTACCTATACCATGTCCCAAAATATAAATAAACATACCAACCATTTCTGCAACATCAGTATTCCTACATCCTTCATGATCATAGCGTGTTACTAAGTCATGGATTAAATTATTAAATACAACCTTATGCATTCTAAACATATTATAACACCTTATAGGATTGGCATCTTCGTCCATCAACTCTTTTAACCATGCATAACCTGTATATGTTGAAGTCATGCAAGGTTGTTTGCAAAGGTATGTTGTTTGATAAAAAATTGCAACTCTAGTGATTGAGACAAGATCCCAATAGTCATTTTCCTCTTGTTCACGATTTTTCCTTGCATGTGAATATCCGTAACTGCTTCAAGTAACAAAATATAAAGGTTGTAAGAGAAATAATGAATAAGCTTGATCATCCATCGAGAGAAACAATGTAATAACCATCATATATATGCAAACTCAACCACATAGAGAGAACACGAACTAGAAACAATTCTCACATTAAAACATTAATAGAAATTGGGTTCATAGGAATGCAAATAAAGATCCATCAATAGAAACAAAGTAACATCACTCTCTTCAAACAGGAAAAAAAAGTAGCATGACTCCCTTCAAACATGAAAATAATAAGATGCTAACATCCTATCTACGAAGACCTGATTGTCTTCCAAACTCATACTTGAGATACTTGACTCTTTTTGCATCATCCTTTAAGCTCATGACAACCTGCCTATTGTCTATCTTTTCCTTCAAATGAGAGATTGCAAAATAGTACAACATTTCGTCTTCCACAATCTCAGTTATGGTATCCAATATATCTATGAGGTCTTTGTAAGGGCCGACTACATTGGTGGTTGCTTGAGATGTGGCAGTGGCATTTCTTCTACTTTCAACAGCTGCAACTAGCCTGTTAATTTGCGTCCCAAGCTCTTCTCTTGTGCTCAATTTCTTATCTTTTTTTCCTTGAGCTTGCCTTGTTGAAGTTTGCGCGGCTCTTTTACAGCTTTGAGGTCCAATTGGTTCAACAATGGTTTCATCTACATGACACTCCAAATTTTCATTAGTAGATCCTACGCCATCATTGATACCAGGTTGTGTGACCTCATTATCATTATTAATACATAAGCCTTGCCCAGGATTCTATGTGACTCCTCCAGTAGCAACTGTATCTCTAAATATCATATCTAACTTCTCTCCAAGATCAGGATGTATGCCTTTCGTCCTAAAAGCCTTAAACTTTGGATTGACCTGTTATAATAAAGCATTTGTGTAAGTTGTATCATCGAAGGTGATTCTAAAACAAAAGTAAAAAAAAGAAGTGATGAAAACTTGAATTTTACTCTCCCACCATTCGTCGCTCGCATCAATGGTTTTCTGCCTTGAATCCCAACCTAGTCTTGTTTCATTATAAAGCAATGACCTCCATCTTTTCCATTCTTCCTTGAGATTATCCAACTTACTCTTCATTTGATTCTTATCATACTTTTTTCCTGTTAGCTCCTCAAACTTGCTAATTATGATTGTCCATCATCCCTTTGTGTTGTTTGCAGGACGATTGCCTTTTTCAATTTGTTTAATGCACAACTTACAAAAGGTTTCTATATCTTCCGAGCTCCAAAATGCCTTTTCCTTTGATGAACTTGCCATCTACTAGTATAGTAACATAACAAATTTGGGAAGCACAAACAAACAAGATTAACCATGAACAAATTCGAATGAAGACATGCATTTCTTAACACACAGATAACCAATCAACTCCCATATGTTCATTACATAACCAATTGAACATAATTAGTGAATAACATAACCAATTGAACAATTGAATAGACTTCCAAGTAGCACGTCACCCCCACAATAGTTGAAATAAGAAGCCTTGTTAAAGCATGCTTTTGTTTGGTAGCTTCTTTACTTTCACATGTGCCTGAGAATCATTCTTAAGTTTGTGGTCAAAATTTTCAAGCAGTAGCCACAAAGTAATAATACCAAGCAACAGACGCCCATTTTGGTGAACATAATTCCACATTTATGCATCACACTGACTCAATCATGCAATACCTTTCTTCTTCATCATTGCAATAATACCAAGCAATTTCATCAAGTCCACAAGCACCACATTAGAAGGCACGTAAGTTCAGAATTTTATTAATATAGCTTATACCCACAAAATGCAAAAATCGAATGTTTATGTTGAAAATTCTCTCCGCTAATTAATAAAACTAATTTATGAGTCAAGTGATTTGAGGTGGCAATAGACATGAAACCCAGCAAGATCATACTAATAATAGGATGCTTGTGTTGTAATTATTAATTTTTCCCCCAAAAACCTAGCAAGATCATACTGAAAATAGGATGCTTGTGTTGTAATTATTAATATTTCCCCCAAAAACCCAGCAAAAAATATTCAAATTGAAGCTAAAATGAGACCAGCTTTAAAGAGAGAGATCACTTGAGGAATAGGAAGCACTACAAACACGTCGAACATAAACCCCTTGATCGATTGCATGTATAATCTGGTGCTCGGGGATGAAGAAAACATTTTTGAAATGGACAAGAAGCAAGGCATGACAATAGATGAGTACTCTGTTGTGCGGAAGAGCACCCTAACTAGATGAGATGAAACAAGAATAATCCAAACACAGAGATTTACGTGGTTCAGCAAAAAATTCCACCTACGTCCACGAGAGAGAGAGACGATTTCTTATTTTGAGCATATTTGATACAAGGTACAATGCTGAATAAATAGATCCTCAGATCCCCACTTCCCTAATCCCAAGAAATTCTACCCTAAAGATCTTATCAGTTTAGGAAATTAACTAATAAATGTTTAGTGATTATCCCCTAAATATTAGGAATATCATGACATATCCCAGTTACATTGAATTAGGACTATTTCCCATGAAAACCCATGTAGATAGGAAATATATTTGAAACATGTAGCCTGTAAGCTCCAAGCCTTCTTAGATTTCCCAATTGGCTTTTCTGAGTCTCTAATCGATCGAAACTTCATGGAATTCAAGACAACATCAACATACTCCTTATCTAAGAATCGAATGCGCCTCAAATTACCTCTTAGGCAAAACAAAACGGAAAACCCTAAAAACATATTGAAGACGATACAAGCACCAAAATCACGAAATGCACAAATTCCATAGTAGAATCACCATGGAAGAAAGGATAAAACCTCAAGGGTGGCCACAAAATGCATAGATCTAAGCAATCAAAAGCACATCCACTGGGGGGGGGGGAGAGAGAGAGAGAGAGAGAGAGAGAGAGAGAGAGAGAGAGAGAGAGAGAGAGAGAGAGAGAGAGAGAGACGAACCTGTAGTTGAGCGAGGGAACGAGCGAAGTGAACCATCGAAGCAAACGAGCGAGCGATTCGTCCGAAGGAGAGCAAAGCAACCAAAGCGAGCAAGAGAGGCTAGCGATCCGTCTGAAGGAAAGCGAAGCAACCAAAGTGAGCGAGAGAGGCTAACGATCCGTTTGAAGGAAAGCGAAGCAACCAAAGTGAGCGAGAGAGGTGAGCAGTGGAGAGCGAGAGTGAGGCAACAGTCGAGAGTGACAAAAGGAAAAAAGGGAGAGCGAAGAAGCGGAACGCTTAGAGATAGGGTTTGTTTTTTTTAAATGGGCAAAATTGGACTTTCAACAATATTTTGAGGGCAAAATAGGCAACTAACCAAAATTCATTAAAAGAAGGAAGTAGCATTCCGAAAATGCTGAAAGCTCAAAGCAGGTCCCCCACCTGCTTTGGGCTTTCAACATTACAAATGCTAGCATTTGGCCAATAGAGTCCTAAAAACACTTGCCAAACACCTCATATTTTTCTCAAGGGGCTTTAGAGGCCGAAAGCCCCTTGGAAAAGCTAAACCAAACGGGGTCTAAGACTGGTACTTGTTAATAAAAACACAAAAGTTGATCATTTTAGGTGTCAATACTTTTTCTCCAAGAAAACGAGATGATCCACTTGCAAAAATCGGTTTTTGTCCTTCAACTTTTGTGCAAGATATTATACCCATGAAAAGTATTTAATTGTGCCAATAGCTTTATATATTCCTTTCCGATTTTCATTCCACAACTTGTGTAGTACTTTGTTTACATAGATCGATATGGTATGATTATCGAGGGTTCTTCTGGAACGCTTTATAGAATCGGAATCCACTTTCTTGCCATTCATGTGAACGATATTACTTTACGCATAAGGTGTGGATACAACAAAAAAGCAATTTTTTTTCGTTTTGTTTGTTGCATTCAGAACGACTCTTCTTTTGAATCTAGAATCTCTTTGCATGACGCAGCGTGTCTCTATCTCTCCAAGTTTCTTTTCGCCCCCATTCGTGCGTCCCACGATCAGAAATGGCATGTTCGTTTTTGTACACTCCCTTTGCCCTTGCTTTTAGTCCAAAAAAAGAACACCATGAAACCAAAAGATGCTTGCGCATGTTGCACCAACCCAAAAGCCAAAGGAAAGAGAGAGTTGTGCTACAGTGCTCCAAACCCATGCCATGCCAACGTACAACTCCATACGGAAACGCCTCATCCTGTCGTCACTATACTGCAAAGAGTCTGGGCCGTTCCCAAAAAAGAGTAGTAGATATGCTGCCGACTTCTATGTATGTATCGCTCGGTCATCTCCCTACCGTTCCGTATGTGATTTTTGAGGGATATGCAAGGTATCAACTAAGTAGCACCGACACCGACAAGCAACACGCGACATGACACGACGCGACATGACACGCCGACACGTCATTTATCAAAAAATGAGAATTTCGATACGTTGGGACACGTTGTATATTAAATGTATATTTTTATATATATACATGATAAATTGTCATTTTTATGATTATTGTAATCAAATTAATTTGATTCTAATCCACAAATATATAAATAATAAAAAAAAGAGTGCCGGACGAGTGTTGGTGTCCGACACGACACGGAGGCCCCCGGAGAGTGTCCGTGCTTCCTAGGGTATCAATACCATAGCTATCGCATGAAGTTTATTTTGGTGCCAAAACTTTTCGAAAGAATATTTAAGTGCCAAAGCTTTAAGACCGATCACTTAAGTGACTCCGTTGATGGAAGACCTGACGTGGCTCACCGGAATAACTTAAGTAGACGTTGTTGATACTGCACTGGTCATTCATAAAGTTTTGGCACAAAACATTTAGAAATTGTGTTGTGTATTTATTAAATGAATCATTTTTCACAAGTTGAGAAATCGGGGTTAAATTGGTTCCAAAACATTTCGTAGCATTGATCTTCGCAGTAGATCAAATATAAGTAGTTCATTTCCATAAGGCTCCAAGCTCTGTTGTTCAATTTAAAAACAGAGCAACATCAGAGAAGTAACAAATGTGAAGTTACAATGGATGGAGAAAATGTTATTTCTTTTTCTTTTCGAGGAAAGCAAATAGATCATTGTGATTTTGAATGATCACTGTAGTTATATGAATGATCAATTTAGTGACAAAAATTTATGAAGGATCACCTTAGTACTATTTTTGTAAATGTCCATTTAAGTGATTATTGCTAGCACGTCAAATTTTCCAGCAAACAAAGTCAACAGAAAAAAAGTCAACAGAGTAACTTAAGTTATCGTTGTTCAAAAGTTGTGGCACTTAAATGATCAGCTCAAAAGTTTCAGTACCAAAGTAGCCGCCGTACAAAAGTTGTGATGGTGATGCCATTCTTTTCCCCTTCTCCGAGTGTTAAACGGCAGACATATATAATTCCAACATCCTCATTACTATTAAGCAATAGAATGTAAAACCACATCTGGCAAGTGGGATACATCAAACCCTTTTGGTTGGTTTTACTGCTTTTTACGAATTGTCATAATCCGACTCGATACACATGGGCTAAGCCCCTAAAGGAATACTCAATGTGGTGGTGATCAAGATGTAAGCAATTTGTGAGTGACTTGAACACGGGGGGCTAAACTTGAGTCTGGGGCGAGGTCTTGGATTTGAGCGTCGAGATCCCCCCCTAGGTGGAGGTCCCAGGTCAAAAGTTGAGAATCTGGTCCGGCCTTTAGACGCCTTTGTCTCGTGTTTGTCCCAAGGGTTCTTGTTTGGGCAATGGATACCATGGTTTGAGTGTCGGGGTCTTGGTTTCGGGCAACAAGGACTTGGGTCTGGTCTCAAGAGACTCAGGTACCCAAAGGATTGATGTTCGAGGGTCGAGGTCTTTGATCTAAACTCTAGGCCCTCAAGGTTGGCCCCTTGGGTCTTGGATCTGAGCATTAGGAACCGGAGGGCCAAACCCTGGTCTTGGCCTGAGGTCTTGAGTTCGAGGATCGAGACTGCTAGTATAGGGCCGAGTTCCTGGGTTAAGAGTCTAGGCTCTAGTTTGGCCTGAGTGTCATGATGTCATGTCTGGACCCCCGGGTTTAGGTGTCGGCATCTCGAGTCCTTCCCTAAGGCTACGTTTGGTAGCTAAAATAAAAATCATGATAGGATATAATTTATCTTATCCAGTGTTTTGTTTCTACCTAAGACAGGATAATGTCGGATATAAGAATGATATATCTAGGATATATCCCATGGGAGAGGTGGGATAAATGTGGATAGGATTTTTTTATATCCATGGTAAAAAAAATATTTTTCTCGAATAACAATCTTCTTAAATTAATAAAATTAAAATAATAATTAAATATAAATAATATTTTCATTCTAATCTAAAAGAAGAAAATTCAAAATAACAAAAAAATAACATCAAATTCCCTTTTTATTTATTCCTATTGTGATATATGTTTGAATTTTTTCCTGTTCTATAATATAAATTATATATTTAGTATTTATATTTATTACTTATTTTAGGTAAAGTATAATTTATTATTTAATAAATTTTTTATTAAGGAATGACAGAAGGGAATAAAAAAGAAATTAAAAATTAAAGGAAATTAAAAAAGAAAGGGAAAAATAATAAATAAATAAATATATAAATAATGAAGTAGAAGAACCTAGATTTTAAATGAATAAATTCAAACTTGATAAGAATGATTTGCATGAAAGAAAATGAAGTTTTACGACTCTGTATTTTTGGTTCATGTTGAAGCTCTACAACTCCTACGTAGTTCTTTGGTTCATGTTAAAGCTCCATGAAAAGGGCAAGATAGTCAAAGCTCTTTTCCTCAATAATTCCCTGGTTCATGTCAAAAGTCTATGAAAGTAGCAAGAGAGTCGAAGCTCCTTCTCTTCCGTAACTCTGTGGCTCACGTTCAAGCTTCACGAAAGTAGCGAGAGAGTCGAATTACTATACTTTTCATAATCATGAAGGTAAATGATCATGTTTTCTCTCTCTTACTAAATTTGGCATTTGCTGGCTGATCTACCTCATCGATATTGCTGGTGTTCGTTTATATTTCTTGTCATTATCAAACCTATGACTTTGGAATGCTGCAATGAATTTATTTGCTATTTAAGATTTAGATCGTACAATAATCTTAGGCTCCGTTCGTTTGGCGGAAAATATTCTTCAGGAAAATATTTTCCGGGTTTTCCGGTGTTCGGGGGGCGGAAAACGTTTTCCGTGGAAAAATATTTTCCTTCCCCCCCTCACAAAATAGCCTAAGTCTATGGAAAATGACTTCCGCTTCTTCAAAAGCGGAAATCATTTTCCGAAGCTTCTTCTTCTTCTTCTTCACTAAGGTCGCTTCTTCTTCACTAAGGTTGCCGGCCGCCGCCGTCGGTCGCCAGCCGCCGCCGCCGCCGGTCGCCGCCGCCGTCGGCAAAAAATATTTTCTGAAACTTTTTAATATTGGTCGCTGAACACCGGAAAATTATGTTCCGGGAAAACATTTTCCAGGAAGATGACTTCCGGGAAAATATTTTCCAAAAGGAGAATATTTTCCACCAAACGAACGGAGCCTTAGATTAATTGATGGAGGTTATCTCTGTTTGTGCCTTTGTGGTTTCTTTAGTAGCGAGTCGTGAGAGATTCTTACCGTCTCCAATTGTGCATTTTTAGTTTCAATTACACTTATATGCCATTCATACCAAACAATGGACATGATAGGATATATATGAAAGTATTTTTCTTTATTACCGCGATTCACCAAACAGTGGATAAAATACAGTAAAATCCATTCTTATCCTATCTTATCCAATCCTATCTCGATTAAAAATCCTTCGAATAATATAGACGGTTTTAGTATCTATGAGGGTCAAAGTTGGATTCCAGAAGATCAAACATAATCTTCAAAATAGGCACGTCATAGAGAAAATATTTTCCATAAGTCCATTTTTCTAAGCAATCCCAAAGGCTAAAAATCGAAAAAAAAATGTTTTTTGACAGTAAAATTTAGGGGTGATTGATTCCCGGATGGTCTGGTTCCCACCTAGGAACCGATCGGTCCAGTTCAACTCCTGGGTGGTACAATGGACCGGTGGGATTGACGAAGAAGCATGAGCCCGCTCAATCTAGATCTCTCGCTCGCTAACAATGGGACTCTTGGGCCTTGATCTTGGAGCTTCAAACTAGAATGCATCAAAATTTGTTACCCTTCGCTTGAACAATGACAATGCCAAGAAGTAACAAAGAAATTAACACAAGCGAGTAAAACCCGTATACCTCCTGTTGCTGAAATCGCAGCTCTTTCTTTCTCCGCGGGGTGATCAGACGAGGAACCAGGCAACAACTGAAACTGAAAATTGAAAATGAAAATGTGGAAGGCAAAACCAGTAGATAGATGAGCACGGGAGATTCGAGACACGAGATCCATTCTTGTTAACCCACAATCGAGCCAGAGTGAGGCGAGAGAATCGAGCGAAAATCGGTTCTTGAGCAAAAACTATGGTTTTTTGTGAAAGAGAAGAGAGTGATTCGTGTGTGTGAGAGACAGAGAGAGTGACTGAGTTGTGTCGTGAAGGATTAGGGTTTTTAAGTTTTTAAAAATCGTAAGAAATTTAAAAAAAATTGGTCCGATCTGGATGGGCAGTTTCACCCATGGAATCGGGAATTGGACCGGTGCCATCGAGAACCACCTAGAAACGGCTTTGGTTCAGCCCGGGTGATTCCCGGTCCAAGTGGTTCCTTTTGCTCAACCCAAGTTAAATTCCCGTGAAAGAAACAAACCTTAGTCTGCGAACTTCAGCTAATGAATCGAGTCAGAGACTCTAAGGCTGCGCATGACAACTTGTCAAACAGTGTTTGATTCTGTTCTTTTGTTCCCAGAATCAGTTTGGGAACAGAAATGCGTTTGTTTAATTTTTTGATTCTGGGCACAATTTTGTCAAAAATTGTTCTCAGAATCAGTTTTGGAGCAGAATCAAGAATAAAAAAAAGTAGCTTCTTGATTCTGGGAACAATTTTGAGAATCAATTTTTTTTTCTTCTTCCTTTTCTTGGTTTTTAATTTAGCTTCTAATGTCCGGCCCGAGGACCGCCCTCATCGGATCTGACGAGAACAAAATATTTTAATAAAAAATATTATTAATAAAAAATATTTTACCGGCCATGGCCGGCGACCAGGCCATGGCCATAAAAAAGAAAAAAATATATTTTTAATAAAAAATATTATTAATAAAAATAATATTTTACCTGCCATGGCCGGTGACCAGGCCATGGCAAAAAAAGAAAAAAATATATTTTTAATAAAAATATTTTAATAAAAAAAATATTTTACCGGCCATGGCTAGCGACCAGACCATGGCAAAAAAAATGTATATTTTTAATAAAAAAAATTATTAATAAAAAAATATTTTACAGGCCATGACAAAAAAAAAGAAAAAAATATATTTTTAATAAAAATATTTTAATAAAAAAATATTTTACCAGCCATGGCCGGCGACCAGGCCATGGCAAAAAAAAAATATATATTTTTATTAAAAATATTTTAATAAAAAATATTATTAATAAAAAAATTATTTTACCGGCCATGGCCCAAAAAAATAAAAATGTATATTTTTAATAAAAAATATTATTAATAAAAAAAATATTTTACCGGCCATGGCCCAAAAAAATAAAAATGTATATTTTTAATAAAAAATATTATTAATAAAAAAATATTTTACCGCCCATGGCCAAAAAAAATAAAAAAATATATTTTTAATAAAAAAATATTTTACCGGTCATGGTCGACGACTAGGCCATGGCCAAAAAAAAGAAAAAATAATTTTAATAAAAATATTATTAATAAAAAAATATTTTACCGGTTATGGCCGGCGAGCAGGCTATGGCCAAGAAGGAGGAAAAGAAAAAAAGAAAAGAAAAAAAAGAAAGAAATATTAAAATATTTAAAAATATTATTAATAAAAAGAAATTTTGTGGCATTACCAAACGCATTTATGTTCTTTTTCTATTCCAGGGATGGAATTTTGGGTCGTTAACAAACGCCTTAAAATGCTCAGAATCAATTCTGGGCACAGAATAAAAAAGAATCATTTTTGAGCAGAATCTGTTCCCGGGCACAGAATCGTTGTCATGCGCAACCTAAGTCAGCTAGAACTTAATCGGGTCCAGCTCAAACTCGAAAAGATTAGTTTGATCGAGCTAGAAATAGATTTCTGTCCCGAGTCAAGTTCGAATGGCATTCCATTTGGGCGATCACAGGCGCTTTTTGTGGGCTCATGCTCATGCTCATGCTAATCTCATGGGTTGCAAAAATTTCGTGAAACGGAATATCCGATCCCTCTCCCTCTCCCCCAAAAGTGAGGGGTCAGGATCATCTTTAACGGACGGCGGAAAGGGAACCACATGTTGCACGGTAAGAAAAGGGATGGTGATCCTTCTCTCTCTGGGCAGCCTCACACGCGGAGCCCTCTGGCCCTCCATGACTTTTGATGCCCTATGCATGGCGTATAGATTACACAATTCCATGAGCCCACTTGCAGATAAGAGTCCCTCACTATTCTTTTATAAATATCACAAGCCCTTTGTGGCCAAATTTATCCATAGAGCCCAAAGTGTTTGAGTCTCTGTGTGTGTGTTCTTGGAGGTTCTTTTGACCACAAAATTCTGTGCTTGTCTGTCTGCGTGGTTTGATCATCTTGAACTGCATTTCCGTGGGGTAAGCAAAATGGCTTCGTCCGTCGATCCACTGGTGGTGGGTCGCGTGATCGGCGACGTGGTCGACATGTTTGTGCCGAGCGTGAGCATGTCCGTGAGCTACGGCTCGAAGCACGTCACCAACGGCTGCGACATCAAGCCCTCCATCTCGGTCAACGCCCCCAAAATCAGCATCTCCGGCCACCCGGACGAGCTCTACACCTTGGTACGTCGTCCTACCTGTGTAGCCGGTAGTGCGTTCCGGAGGGTAGGTTATTACATGGACCTGGTGCATGCATCCTTGTCGAGCGGATCCGGCAAGAATGCATGCAGCAGGTGCACGTGATAACGATTCCTCATCCTGGTGGGAGGTGTTGATCGCATGAATTCATGGCGTGGTTTGAGAGTGTGTTGGAGACGGAGGAACAGACATGGGGGAAAAACACTAGCTTCGAAACTGATTAAATGCAAGTAAACCATTTAAGGGTCGTTTTTTAATCTTGTTTCTCTCTCTTTTTGCGCTCAGGTGATGGTGGATCCTGATGCACCGAGCCCTAGTGAGCCAAGCATGCGAGAGTGGATCCACTGGTGTGTCGACTTGCTCACGTTAATAATAATACGAACACGTGTTTCTTCAACTCTCTCGTAATTCCGACAAGTGTGTCGGAGGACCAAATCCCACCGCGAGTCACAAGTGCTAATAATTATGATGTCATTGGTACTTGCCCTTGTCTGTTTCTCCTTGCCCTTCGACTGACTTTGTGCGACTGTGCTACCTTTTGTTTTCTGGTTATCAGGATCGTGGTTGATATCCCTGGAGGCACAAACCCTAACCGAGGTAAAAACAAGAGGATTTCATTAAGCTCAATCTTCTTCTTTTTTCCCTCTCCTGATGGGTCGTCATACATAAAAAATGATGAGAGACCAGCATGAATTTGCACGCCTCCGTGATACACTTGATTCCTGGAGAGTCTTTGTTGTGGTCAAAGTCAGTCCAATTTGGACATACATTCTAATCTGTGCTTGCGTATGTTGATGATAAGATTTTATGTGGGCTGGCAAGATTAGATTGATTGGACAACTTTTTAACTCTCTGCTTTCTAGTTTAGGTTCTGTAGGTACAAACTTTTTACATCAATCATGTCAATTTCTTATCTTCTCAAAATTATGTTTCTAATTTGATCATAAGTAAAACAAACTAAGTCTAGTAAATGCAAACCTTCGATGATCTCAGCGCGAATATGGAGCACGAACGATTTCTACCTTCTTTCGTTGAGCAAAGCCATTAAGGTGCAGAAACCGGATTAATAATTGCGAAATTGCCATGTCCTTAAAAGTCTAAAATTTAAAGTTTATTTTTTTTCAATGAAAGTATGATTTAATATATAAGTATCATGAGCAAAAATTAACTATACATGCAATTAGAAAATGCAATAAAAAAATGCAAGTGTAGTCTCACGAGAACAATATCAATTTTAGAGGGAAAAAGATCTCATTGGATATGACCGGAGAATAGTTCAGAAATATCAATTTTTTTGGTTAGCTGCAAAGTTTAGATTGTTAGAAGAATGTATGTGTTATATTTGACTACTTTGACCATTGTTAACAGTGATGTCATAAATGGAGTCTTTATCAAACCCCTTTGGTTGTTTGCTGCAATAATTCTTGCTTTTAGACAATAAAAGATCTCATTGGACATAACTAGACAGAATCAAACCCCTGAATTTGCTTCTGTCATTAGTTGCAAAACCCACCCTTCATGGGAAGGTAAGGTTGTCAGCTGCAAAAAAAGCCCTTTCTTCACAAGAAGGTATCGTAGTTGGCCAAGAAAAGAAAAAGAGGAAATGGCGTGAGTTTTTTTATTGAAAAGAAAAATGAACTTCATTTCACACGATCCTTACCAAAAAAAAAAAAAAAACTTCATTTCACGCGACGGTATCTGATTCGTTCGTGGAAATTCACGGACTGTTGTGTTACATCACATCGCCTCATGCCCCGTTTTGCGCATGGAAATAGTTTAAAAGATAGTCTCTGCGTCCAGATACAGATACGCAGGTTCTTCTACCTTTGTCCTCTTGTTTCATAGCGCACGTGTAACTTGCGCACGCACCACGTGTCGTATATGCAGATTCATGTTCTCGTCTTGCTTCTTCCTTTGTCTCTGCACAATCTCTTATGTTTTTTCTGGGGTTTTTCTTTGTTGTCTCTGCAATTCGTGAACAGACAATTGGTTACGTGATCAAGAACCAAGTATCATGCACGCTGGCCTGTCTAACCTGGCACGTGTGTGCCACTTGTCATCTATTTCACAGCAGGGCATCTCCAACTGAGATATTTTTCTACTGATTTTTATTATATACAGACATATTTTGCCTAAAACTTTACAATGCATGAGATTTAATTTGAAAGAGGGGTCGTGCATCTTTAAATTTGAAATTATTTATTTTGTACTGGAAAAATGACTCAATAAAATATTCATCAAATCAAATTTTGAGCAGCTCATTCAAAGGTTTAGTATACATTATATATATGATGTACATAATTAACCTCAGTTTAGGTTCAATGATCTTCATCTCTTAGTAAACAGGCTTTTCTTTCCGAAACTCTTTGTACCTCTAGTACAATCAAAAGGGTAATTTCTTTTCCTAATTATAAAGAAATTTTCTGACATGTTCATTACCTTATGTAAAGGTAAGTAAAAACAAACGTCGATTATATGTTTTTTTGAGAGATTTTTCTCCAATTAGGGACGGTGGAGAACATAAGTCTAGTGATACAAGCAAATTCACGGAGAGCCTTTTCCTAGAAAATCACTACTATTTCGAATCTTGTTTTCCTTTCTAAAGTAGAGATTGATAGGTCTATCGTTCTTTTTCAAAGGAAAGATTTTGTCATCACATAGCTCGAATAAGCCTAGTTATACACATGTAACGAGATTGACCAAGCTTGGGCACAAAAGAAACAAATAATAATTTGGAAAGGATGTGAAACCCTAAAGAAACGAATATAAAAAAATATGGACATCAATCTTTTTTTTCATTTCTTCCGTTTGAGCAGGAAAAGAGATATTAACCTATGTGGGGCCGCGCCCACCGGTGGGGATCCACCGCTACATCCTGGTGCTGTTCCAGCAAAAGACTCCCATCGGCCACATCGACCACCCCAACTCCCGCGCCAACTTCAACACCCGCCTCTTCGCCGCCCACCTCGACCTCGGCCTCCCCGTGGCCACCGTCTACTTCAACTCCCAGAAGGAGCCCGCCAACCGCCGCCGCTGACATCCGAGAGAGAAGCCGCGAGGGCCGGCCGGCGAGGGAAAAGCCGGCGTGGGAAAAGCCTAAAGGTGCGGGCGGTTATGGTTATGGAGTCTTAATTAAGCGTTGAACCTTTTAATGTATGCCGTGTTTGGTTGCGTATTATTGCTAATAATATGTCTAGGCGTCCTTATAATTACTATGAGGAAGTGAAGGAGGGAGAGAGGGGACAGGGAGAGATCGAATTATGATATTTGAAGCGTGTATCGAGGAGTGAAGTCTTCTTGCGCTCTCCAAGTGTAGGCAATTGAGCAAAAAAGAAGAAAGGAGTCATGGATTTCTATATAAATCTTATTATATTATAAGTGCGCATGCTATTTAGATGTCCTGTTACAATGAGCTCCAAGATAGATTATTCAATTAGAGATATTTGCTAGATGATATTAAGGCTGCGCATGACAACGATTCTGTGCCCGGGAACAGATTCTGCTCAGAAATGATTCTTTTTTATTCTGTGCCCGGAATTGATTTTGAGCATTTTAAGGCGTTTGCTAACGGCCCAAAATTCCATCCCTGGAATAGAAAAAGAACAGAAATGCGTTTAGTAACGCCACAAAATTTCTTTTTATTAATAATATTTTTAAATATTTTAATATTTATTTCTTTTTTTTCTTTTCCTCCTTCTTGGCCATAGCTTGCTCGCCGGCCATGATCGGTAAAATATTTTTTATTAATAATATTTTTATTAAAAGTATTTTTTCTTTTTTTTGGCCATGGCCTGATCGTCGGCCATGACCGGTAAAATATTTTTTTATTAGTAATATTTTTTATTAAAATATTTTTATTAAAAATATATATTTTTATTTTTTTTGGCCATGGCCTGGTTGTCGGCCATGGCTGGTAAAATATTTTTTTTATTAATAATTTTTTTATTAAAATATTTTTATTAAAAATATACATTTTTATTTTTTTGGGCCAAGGCCTGATTGCCGGCCATGGCAGGTAAAATATTTTTTTATTAATAATATTTTTTATTAAAAATATACATTTTTATTTTTTTGGGCCATGGACTAGTCGCCGGCCATGACCGGTAAAATATTTTTTTTATTAATAATATTTTTATTAAAAATATATATTTTTATTTTTTTTGGCCATGGCCTAGTCGCCGGCCATGGATGGTAAAATATATTTTTTATTAAAATATTTTTATTAAAATATATATTTTTCTTTTTTTTTTGCCATGGCCTGATCGCCGGCCATGGCCTGTAAAATATTTTTTTTATTAATAAATATTTTTATTAAAATATTTTTATTAAAAATATACATTTATATTTTTTTTGGCCATGGTCTGGTCGCTGGCCATGGCTGGTAAAATAATATTTTTTATTAAAATATTTTTATTAAAAATATATATTTTTTCTTTTTTTGCCATGGCCTGGTCACCGGCCATGGTAGGTAAAATATTTTTTTTATTAAAAATATATTTTATTAAAAATATATATATATTTTTATGGCCATGGCCTGGTCGCTGGCCATGGCCGGTAAAATATTTTTTATTAAAATATTTTATTCTCGTCAGATCCGGCGAGGGCGGTCCTCGGGCCGGACATTAGAAGATAAATTAAAAACCAAGAAAATGAAGAAGAAAAAAAAATTGATTTTCAAAATTGTTTCCAGAATCAAGAAGCTACTTTTTTTTTATTCTTGATTCTGCTCCAAAACTGATTCTGGGAACAATTTTTGACAAAATTGTGCTCAGAATAAAAAAATTAAACAAACGCATTTCTGTTCCCAAACTGATTCTGGGAACAAAAGAACAGAATCAAACACTATTTGGCAAGTTGTCATGCGCAGCCTAACTAGATAAGAGTAATCTATATGAGTTCTAAAATCCGTCCGCACAACTAGTTCATTGAGCGGTGTGCTACATTGCGTTGAGGCATTCAGGCGGGCGAACCAGATTTATGAACTCAGTAGGAGATCAGTATTCGATACCACATTATTGTAGATTGGTAATTGATTGTATCTCTAGAGTTATTTGGTGGAGTAATTAGGGCCTTGTGAAACTATTTGAGATGTGCTTTACTTTGTAAAGATTGGTCGGAGCTCTATTAGTTGCTAAAATAGCCTTGCATTATCGGCAAATCTAAAACAAAAAGCTACAGTTACAGAAGCAGAAAACAAGCAATCGAATAATAAAGTAAACAGTACAATGAAATAAATCGGTCATCAAATGTACATGGTTTGGTAAGGGAAACTTACGTCCACAGGAGAGCAGCACAAAATCACACACATACACTATATATATATATATATCAAGTGATACAACGGAGATTACGGTCACACTTGAGTCACTCAAACACTCTCAATGTTTCATAACCCTCAATTATACCCAATAACCCACGTAGTGTCAACTCTATAATTCTTCAAGAAATAACCTCTTAATTTCACAAAGGAATTACACAAAATCTTAATACAAGATCTTCACGAGTTCAAACACTTGGGATGCAACTCACGAGTCCAAGCTCTTGGATACTCTTCACGAAGAAAACACTTCTTATATATAGACGAGAGTTGGATACAAAATAGGAAAATAATATTTTATCTGAAAATAGTGACCTGAGGAGGATCTCCGAATTCGGCTCAGGTCAGGATCGATCCGAGTCACAAGGCCCTAAAATGGATTGGGCCTAATGTGCTGGCCCAATCTCGCTCAAAATAGGCCCACCCAAAAAAGAAAACCTAAATATCTAAGCCCGGCCCAAAAATTAAAATAAATCTAGCCAAAAACAAGAATGGACCAACCCAATGGCTTTGTCCAGGCCTAGACGTGGCCGACTTAAGTCATCTAGGCTTGCAAGCCGAGCCCGATCTAGCCCAAAGCCTGGCCAACCCGGCTCGTAGTTCCCTTTTGTTCGCGTCAGTTTAGCCGTAATGGAGATGGTCGAGGCAAGCAATGCCGTCGTCTCCGTCCATCTAAGGGTGTACCCCAGCATTGCCTCAATTGATTCGAGCTAAGCGCTCGGCCCTCGCCTGGCTAACGATGCCCCAATGGCGACCGCGGTGGGGCACTTGCGAGACACCCAATCCATGAAACTTAGAGATCTCCATGGACGACCACAATGGTAGCCATGGACTGGCCACCTAGAGGCCACCCTAACCACAACACTTCCGCTTAAACTGCCATTCCCTGGCCAGCCCTGACACCCTCTCTCGGTCGAACACAAGAATAGCGATAGAGTCAGTAAGAATGTGGCGAAACAACCAAACGGCCGGCGCTCAGGAACACCAAACACCATAGAGGCGCCTTAACAAAACAAATCAACACAAGGGTGCTCATTTTTGGTCGAACACAAGGAGTATGAAACTAGATTTGACTAAGGCATTTCATCGAACGGGAGGTTTTCGGCTCAACCGGGACTCACACTCAAGCCGGGAATCTTGACAAATGACAAGCCAAAGCCGATTAAGACAAGAGACAGGACCGAAATTCGCGTGAGTCAGAAGGCGACAAACTCTGGCCTGGCATGCCCGAAACATGGGCGAAATAAAGCAAGCAAAAAGAGGGCAGAACCGGGGGGGGGGGGGTTAGCCAATGGATGTCCCTACCCGGTTTGATGACGGTGAATGGGGGGTGAGCTCGATAAATTGGACTATGTCCGGTCGCCTCACATGCCTCCAAGCTGAGATCCTCGGGAAATCGACCTGACCCGACCCAAGAAAAACCAAAACAAAAGGGAAATTTGGGAACCTACTGTAGGTTTGGCGCAGAGAAAAGGAAACGTTGGCAGGGATCGTCAGCCGAGGCTCAAACAGAACTACTACCGGAGGACAACCACTTGCTCTCGGCTCAACCTCTCACTCTCGGACTCTCCTCTCCCTCTCTCTGTTTTCTCTCACACTCTCAGTCTCTTTCTCCCCTCCCTCCCCTCCTTTAATGGCTCCCCCCCCCCCTTTAATGGCGACCGGCAGGCTCATATGGCTTTTGCTACCGCTAGCTGCCTTACCGACCTGGCCCCAATTGCACCGTGGCGTTTGCTGTGCCCCTGTTGCCTTTGTACATCGTTGAATGGCAGAGAGCGTGAGAGGAAGGAAGAAAGAGGAAAGGGGCCGGGCTGGAGGGAAAAAGAAAAAAAAGAAAGGAAGAAAGAAAAGTAGGCCGGGCCTAGGGAAAAAGGAAGAAAGGGCCTGGTTGGCTCGGCCCCGCTCGCTTTTCTTTTCTTTTTTAAATTATTTTTTTGATTTTCCTTTTTTAATAAATTATACCGTTATTAGCTAGTCTACCCAACTGCCTATTTTTGTTGTTTCTATTTTTTTGACGACTTACCTGGCCGACAAAATCAGGTGTTAATATGCAGCCAAATTTATGTGTCAATAACGGTAGCCCCCTTCCCAGCTCATCCCGAAGCTCTTGCCATCGCCCTTATTTCTGTCCTACAGGTTTTTTATGTTCACTGTTCTGGCATTCACGACATCAGCCTCAGTCCAGTCCCTCATGTGCCTCTAGTCTTTGGAGCAACCTTGCCACGCCTCCTTAGCGTTTGAACCACTGTAGACTCTTTCCCTACCTTGCTTGATTCCTTCTTTGCAGCTTTTTTTCGATGCCGAAGTGGTCCCATCATTGTTTTCTTTGGCCTTACCATAGCTTTCCTCTTATCAGCCACAGACCTTTGACGACCACACCCCTTCTCATCTTTGCTTCGCTTGAATTGCTAGGTCAAACCCTAATCGAGGTGAGGTTAGAGTTTGTTTTATTTTCTGTGGTTATTTAATTTTAATATATAGTTTTGATTGCATGATATTAGATAATAAGATCTTAGGTTATATGTAATATTTTATTTATCTTGTTGCATTTATAAATACATGCTAGGGCTCGAACCTTTGACACTAAAAGTCGAACCTCTAACATAGTCTCACTCATGTGTCCAAGTCTTATGCACCACAACTATGTCATGTCCTGACTCGAAGCTTCCGATCACTATCGCTCATTGGAGGAGTTATAATCCGCAGTCTATCTTTGCCTGCATCATAGTAAATACACCTCGAGAGACCTTCAAAATCCACCTTTAGCAGAGATCCGATATTCGAACCCATCAAGAGCACTCAGCGAGATAAGGTTCTTTCTTAGCTCGGATACATGCCTTATGCCAGTTAACCTTCGCACTACTCCATTTTGCATCTTGATATGAACTGTTCCGGCCCCTCCTACTTCACAAGTGGCACTATTTCCAATAAGCATTTTACCACTTGTTGACACTTAATTTTTAGCCGACGCATCATTAAAAAAAAAAAATTCGAGATTAGGGTTTCCGATCGCAACATAACTCGTTTCTTGAACAAAAAGTGTCGTTTTTTTAATTTCGTT